AGTTAAGTAGAACTGTTAACAAAATGAACAGCTCGTGAGCTCATCCCAACTCGACTCGACTCATTTGCTAAATGAGCAGAACTCAAGCTCATTTAGTTAACGAGCCAAGCCGCTCGAAAATATGATTTTTAATGAAACTTTATGTTGCTCTGCTCGTTAAGGTTCGAGCTCTTGCTCGTTAAAATTAACAAATGAGCCAAGCTCGAGCTCTTCAACGTCTCATGTTACTAATGGCCGGAGCTCGGCATGATAAAGGCTCGAGCTTCTAGTATAAGGAATTCGAGATCAATAATAACAATTTTGCATCAAATAAAAGCATATAAGCTACTAAGGACTCTGCTCGTTTATAAATTATTTCACTCACGTTTAATTTATACTCAAACTTTAACTCAACTCCACTATTTTTAATATTATCATATAATTAAATAATACAAATCAATCATTCTTACACATCGCATCAACTTTAATTCACTATTCATCCACTCACATAATTTTAACTATCTATCATCCCAATCATCTATCTTCTACATTTATATCAAATCAATTTTAATCATTTTATTTTAAATATTATTTTAATACATTCTTAAAATCCCACATTTTATTTTAAATATTATTTTAATATACTTTTAAAATCCCACTAACAATTAATCGTACCACTTTTTCTTATTTTAACTCTGACTAACCAAAATAACTCATTTTTGGACGAATTATTATGTAAACAAGCGAGCCCTAATTATTTCACATAACAAACTAACAATAAATTATTTTTAAATGAGAGAATGACCCATCATATAATTAGTTAGGGTAATGAATGCTATGGGCTCAACGATTCAAACTGGCTATTGATACCTCATTTGTTCATCATATTTCCATGTGAAGCCAGTTTGATGTCTAATCTGTAGTTCATCATATTTCCATGTGAAAAAATAAAAAAAATAAAAAAAATAAAAAAAAAACATTAGCAGCTGAGTTAGTTGTTTTTCTAACTACCGAGATAATTATGGAAGGACTGCTAAACGACAAATACTTGGAGAGCAAAACATAACATGTAAAAATAACTAAGTATAGTAGGTGTTATGCACTATAACACATGAAGGATACCCATAGAACAAGAACTCAGTCGCAAATTGCAACTAACAGATAATTTGGGTGAAAACCTGAGCCGATATATTTCCCCATCTGGGTTTTCTCATATAACATGTATTTAATTGTACCAATCGAGAAAGATAATCGAAAATGTCAAGACAAATAGAAATAGCAAGAGAAAGGTTCTGCTACTGCTATTCCGTTGAATTGCTTGTGACAACTCTTTATTACCCAGCTCCACGTTCTTCGTTGCTTCAACAGCCTGTTAAATCCAATGGCGAACAACAAATTAAATAAACGAACATTAACAACTATTTTTAACATCAACGACACAATTTCTCATTCTTTTGAGCTTTTGGCTCTTTTGCAAATCCAACTGAAGACCGAATTTCTCCAAAACACAGAAACAAGGCTGACCTGCTCGTACAAATACTCAATTTGCTGTGCTTGCTGAAGGACATGAGTCGACATGAGATGGTTGAGGGCAGACATCTCGACCATCTTTGTCTCAGTCTCCTGAACGGCATCCAACATGCTGGACAGCTCCACCTGAAGGGCCCGAGTCTCGTCATCCAACAGCTGCTGCTGGAATCTGATGGGCTCTGCTTGGACATTGTCTGCCTGCTCGGCTCTCGAACTGTTTGCTTCCTCGAGATCCGCATTTCCAGAAGCTGAACTCCCGGAAAAATCTGAAGTGCGTTTCTGCTTAGGTTTTCTTTGTGGGGCCACCCTGTTGATGGCATCCTGGAAGCGTAAAGCTCTAAGCTGATCAAATTGTGATGTCACTGAATGAAGCTTTTCACTTAGAATCAGGACCTGCAATGGAACACCATAAACTTCACTTTTACCTAAAATCCAAAACGATCAATTAACAGTTTTTCAAAATTTGGCAAAAAAGTAATCCAAGAATCCTCCTTACAAGGATATTCATTTGTTAAAAAAATACAAAGTTTAATGGAGTGTTCATAACTCTTTTAAGGGAGCATTTGTAATTTTGAACCAAACTTTAGTTTTTTGTATTAAGTTGAGTAGCTTTTTGCAATTACTCAAATAATAACTTGAGCCCTAATGACTTTAAGATAATATCCTAGGCATGCATTTAATTCCTAATAATTTATAAACCTTAAGGTAAACAGCATCTGCAGGTATGATTTCGCCGCCCCATAACCTCGCACCAAACCATGAATGAATATGTTATTATATTGTCAAATTCTAACTGAGCCGATCTAAAGCTAGACTTCGGATACAGAATGACACAATGTCCTCACTCCTTCATGTACAACATATCAGACGGGAATACAAATAGTTGGAATCGGGCAACAACAAACTAAGCAGCTGCAACATAGTTATTGTGTGAAATTGCCAATCGACTCATGTACCATAATTCATACCACTCCATGTTTGTGTGCTACCGTATCAGCATTTATATTGTCATTTCTTAGACCAAGCCATCCCTTTGAATTTGCCTCCTCATCATTTATACTATTTTTGAGAACATCTATTTGATCCTTGCATGCTTTGATAAAAACTGTAACCTGCGAAATGTAAAAATCGTCAAGAAATAAGTAGTAACATGATGCGATGATCGCTTAAAACATCAACATTTGGCAGCAAACTACCCATCTATACAAAACAACCATATACAGTGTGAAAATAACAAAATTCTCCCTCGTAGTGCATCTGATCCAGCATTTCAAAGAACTAACTTCCGTGGTGCCAGTTGAACAATGACACCTCAATCTAGTTTTAAAGTACAAACACACGCTCCATTATCCTCATCCACAATGTATCAGTGCTATCAGTGCACTCAATATACTACATAACACAGTTATGTAAAAGGGGCAGATATTCTGAGAAATGCAAAAGGTGAGACTTGCTGCACGTGAAATTTCAGCTGCACTAGATTCCACTTCTAAATTTGACAAGAAACTGCGTGCGCACAGTAAACAGATTGGAATCCAATCGAGGATACGTGCTGCAACACAATTACAAAAATTTTCAAACAGTTCGAAACAGACAGTTAAATCCCCAAAGTTCCTATGGATTCACTAAATCCATTTTTATTCCACAATGTTTTCAAGAGATCAGTCCTCTATGATACAACAACAACAAAAACAACAACAACAACAACAAGCCAAAAAGCCGTTAAAATCCCACTATGTAAGGGTCGGCTATATGGATCACATTTCACCATCGTGCTCAATCAAAACACATATCCTCATTCAAATTCAAATATTTTAAATCATTTTTTATTGTGTCCTTCCAAGTTTTCTTAGGTCTACCCACCTTCCCCCATTTAATTTGATTTCTTAGTTCTAATGTTTCTACCTTCTCACCGAGGCCTCAAAGTCTCCTACGCACATGCCCAAACCATCTTAATCGTGATTCCCTCATTTTCTCCTATATGGGCACTAACCCAACTTTATTTCTAATACTTTCATTTCTAATCTCATCTAACCTAGTATGCCCACACATCCATTTCAACATATCTGCCACTCTCACTTTTTGATCACTCCTCTATGATAATAGAAAATCGTAAATCTACAACTTGAAATTATCAAGTTGGACCTTAAACCATTCAAAGAAGATAAGAAAAGGCTTTATCTATGACAAGCCAGAAGGAAAATCCAATAACCCAAAACTATTTATAACCTTTTGCTCGGCTAAGTCCTAAACTCAGACATATAATGGTAATACGAGCGGAAAGAAAAAAGACAAAAAAAAAAAAAAGACCATCGAAAACATAGCAAACACGTCCTACCAAGTAGCATACATTGCTTCTCAACCATGTACTGGACCTATATATACATAGTGTGGTCAGTAATAAAGTGAGGGAGAAGAGTAGAACATAAAGTAGAAAAATGATAGATTTCTTACTAAAAAAGACCACTTGCTTTGTAGAACAACTTTCAAAAGGAAAACCAAATGTTATATTTATATATAAACGTCTAGGGAACAAATACAATCACTAGAAATGGTAGCAATATTCAAGAAGCACTATGTCGCATAAGAAGAAGCAGGACAACTCCAAATTAACCATCAAAAGCATGGATTTTTACCAAGTATATTCACAAAGAAAGTGCAACTACAACTGAAACACAAATCAGAAAATCTTTGTAATGGGGCCACAATAATTAGGTAGATAGCAGGAACCTTAAACCGAAAAATTTAACCTTTTAATAGGCCAACCACATGGCGTTTGTTCTAGAATAGCAAAGAAAGTAATGAAGGAATATTTCACCTCATGCTCAATGCTATCTCTCTCTTGTTCAGTGGTACGGTGTGAATCTACATAATCCTTCTTATGCTTCATGAGGAACTTCTCTAAAGCTCCAATACTGTCAAGCTGGCGGATAAACGTGGTAAATATCAACTCAAATGAAAAGCATCACACAATAATGTGTAGATAAAAACAAGTCCTACCCTGAAGCCACATGTGAAAATGACCATACCGTTGTTAATGCAGCTTTGCTGAAGGACGATCTTTTCCTACTTTTATGCATGATAAAAGAAGCCATCACTGCTGCGGTTTTGGACTGCCAAAAAAGGAAAGCAGCATTTCAGAGTGAGAATAAGCCATTGACGTTAGAAATTAATAAAATTGAAAAAAAAAAAATGAATCAACTAGATCAAATACTGCCAATGGGTATCTGCATAAAATTCTTCAGGAATCGAAAGATTAATAACCACCCATCACAAACATCAAGTACTGAAGTGTGACGAAAGAGACAAGAAGAAGCACCTCACTGTATCCCAAATTCAGTGCTGCTCGACGCACGGCATCCCTAAAATCCTCAGTTCTCTCTCTTGCTTTGGCCATACCTCAACTACGATTAAACAATTGCCGCAATTTTTTTTTTTTTTTTCTGTAAATAACAATGATAAAGTAAATCCCTGCCAGCATAAGAACATCTCTCTAGAAAATTGGACAAAATCAAGAAAACTAGGGCAAATCTCGAAAACTTTGCAATGGTCCAAACAAGCGCGCAATTTCGTCGTGTTCGTTTTCAGTTACGTCAATCCTTGGAGAATAATAATCATTTCTAAATGATTGAACTCACAAAACAATTGAGAAAAACAGATAAAGAGAACCCTAGAAAAATCCCCCTCGAAAAACATGCAATCCAACCATTATCCAGAAGATAAAAACTACGAATTGCATGCAGGAATTAGAGATGCTTATTGGGAAGCTATGGCGAGCGAGAGAGGAGGCGATCTGAATGAGATGGTCGAACAAACGATGTCGTCTGTGCTTTCTATTTTTAGGTGTTACCACGGACCACGCTAAAGCCAGGACCCGACTGAGGTGGGAGAGTGGGCTAAATGACCCGAATAACTCGAATCTTTAATATAGAATGAACTGGAACTATATCTATATGCAGAGTTTGTAGTCTTAATCCTATTTTTTTAATGTGTTCTACGTGGATGATAAATAAGATATTGAAAAATTAATAATAAGTACAAAATATAATTTTATAAAATAATAAAAAACCTCCATAAATGCAGATGTTACAAGCAGTTGTCTTTGTGTTTCGGAGTAGTCCTGAATCTAGGGGAGTTCATCGGTCCGTTCGGTCGACTGACCGAATTGAACAACCAAAACCGAATTAACCGAAATGCTATAAGTCAAAAACCGAACCGACCGATATGTACGCTTAAACCCGAAAATTAACCTAACCGAATTATTCGGTCGGTTTGGTCAGTTAACCGAATTATTTGCTTTAAGCATACATGATCAGCATTCATAAGATTCAGAACTCATAAGCATTCCCAACAGGATGAATCAGAAAATAGAACATACATACAAGATTGTCACAAACATACATACATGATTAACGAATTCAGTCAACATAAACATCTCACAATTGACAACACATACATCATCTTCCCTACCAGTCTGCAATTAGAAAATAAAACAAAAAAGACTTTGTACCTTGATTTGAGATGGAACTGAGATTTTGGGAGGGAGACAAATTCGCCCTTTCGGTGAACAACTGTGTGCCCGGACGAAACCTCCAAGCTCAGCGCCCTCGACCGACGGTTTGACGACCGGCGACAAGGAGTTTCTTGACCGGCGAGAAGGAGTCACAGACGAAGCTTCTGGGACGATTTTTTCCGGAAAAGATGATTTGGATTTGGGCGATTTAGGGGAAGAGGAGGAGCGATGGCGGTAGATTGGGGACGGCGGAGGATTTGGGAAGGGAGATCGACGGGGCGATTTGGGGAAGGGAGATGGAACCGACGGGCGAATTGAAAAGTCTGTACTGTATGGTTTATTGGGTTATTGAAATAATATAGGGTAATTGTTATTTTAGTACCTGTACTATGGGCTAATTGTGATTTTGGTACCTATCCTTTATTTATTGCGAAAATACAACTCAACATTTACGTTTTTTGTGAATTTGGTACCTATTCTTTATTAATGGCTAAAATACAACCCAACCTTTACGTTTTTTGCGAATTTAGTACCTAATAATTTTTCTGTACCTAATAATACAAAT